GTGTAATTAATTTAAAATCTGTTTTGTATTAAATTAATATTTATTTATTTATTTTTGCAAAAGACTAAACTAAAGCGGGCTGGATGGAAGTCACCCGTAAGCTGGATGTGGCCCGTGGACCCCCAATTGAATAACCCTGATTTAATCTGTTTTGTATGATCATTTCTTATCTTAGCATATCTTATATTAGCTTTAATTGCCTTGTCCTAAACCATCATGGCTCATTTTTGATCTCATTTTGTATCATCCCATCATATTTAAGCTCAGTTTTCTTTTTTTTTTTTTTGTTCTTTTTCTGTTTGGTGTGTTTATATATGTTTGTGTGTTATACAGCTCAGTGTGGTGGCACAATGACGGACGTAAGTGGAGTTATTCTAAGTCCAGGTTACCCCGGCAACTATCCCAGTGGATTAGACTGCACGTGGACTGTCAACCTACCTGTTGGCTTTGGTAAGATACATGTCAACAATAAATAAAAAGCAAAAATGTTACTCTTTTCCATTTGCCCTTTCCTGTGTGTTACTTAGTGAGAAGTACAATGTGCATACTGCAATAAAAGTCATTATTCCATGTTGTCATTGAGAAAAAAGTGCTTCTTGTGTTAAAAACATGAGCCTTCATTGCTTCTCTCAGTTTCACTTGTTATATTGGTAAGTTTTTATATATACTTTTTCCAGGCATACATCTTCAGTTTTTAAACTTCTCCACTGAAGCGATCCATGATTACTTAGAGATCCGGAGCGGAACACTGGAAACAGGCTCGGTGATTGACCGGTTCAGCGGTCCGGTTATCCCTAAACCCCTCTTCAGCACCACCCATCAAACCACCTTTTTTTTCCACAGCGACTACTCGCAAAACAAGCCSGGGTTCCACATCACGTATCAAGGTAAACGTTAATTCTGCCATTTTCCCTCCAACACCTTGTTTGCAGTGATCCCTTCCTGAGCAAGGAAAACAAAAGCAGATATCTGACGGTTCAGCTCGTTTAGCCGAAACCAGCCGTGACTTCATTCTTCGGGACCTTTTTTTTTTTTCCACAACAAACCTAACTACCTCGATGAAAAGGTTTCAAGAGATGAGGCCAGAAATATTGCAGGCTGCTCTACATTTTTAGATGAGTTTAATAGTCATGCCATCTGGCACTGAAGTGTTATATTTATTATGACAAATCCTTTAGGCAGCCTAAATTTGTTTGGCCTAATTCTCTTTATATGAAAATTACAGAGGGCTGATGAATAATGCCTTTTATCTGTTGACAGCAGCACTGCCACACTGTTCTAAAACAGGAAAAGATGTAAATATTAGCATTCGTCTCACATCCTCTGCCCCCCAAAATGAGTAAGTTGTTTGTCAAAAAGTTGGTCTTGCGACGCTTTCTGTAAGAAAGTTGTTAAATATAAAGGTTCTAGGATGCTACAGTATTAATTAATCAATATTTTTTAATATTTTAGCAACAGTCAGCAAACAGCTTTTCTACTCAGTGGAGCTCATTACAAAATTGTACAGACAGGTTTTGTTTGGAGGTGTTTTATATTCAGCGAGTATAGATTGGTATAAAACTTTTTTTCTTGAACAATCTAGAAGCAATATTTGTCTTTTTTATAAATCTGTAAAAGTCTTGGTTCTGAAAAATCTAGTTTAAAGATCAAAGATGCAACTGAAAACAAACATTCAAGAACACATTTTAAAATGCCAGTTAAATGCATCCATGTAATTCGTCTGAATATGTCTCCTTTAAGGCTGAATCCCATTAAACACGTTTATTTTTCGTTGATAATACATAAAAATGCTATTCATGGGTGTTGTAAATCCTTATAAATACACTGACAAATCTAAGTACTGAATCCTGAATTTATTTCGGGGTTATTTTCTCTCCAGCCTACCAGCTCCAGAGCTGTCCAGACCCTCGGCCCTTTCGAAATGGCATCGTGATCGGCACAGACTTCAGCGTCGGGATGACGGTGTCGTTTGAATGTTTGCCTGGATATTCTCTGATTGGAGAGGCTTCGCTGACATGTTTGCATGGAATCAGCAGGAACTGGAACCACCCACTTCCACGATGTGAAGGTGAATGTCTGCATGTGTTGTTGCTGTGTGCTCTGTAACTGTATTTCTTTGCTGCAGTCCCATTCTTTGGCTCTGTAGGTGCAATAAAGGGGATAGAGATTTATTTTATGCATGTCTACTATTGAATACATGTACTCAAACATAGTCGAGTTAAAATGAGGTTTTATAAATTTATTTGTAACATCACATTTGAGCAAAACACCTTCTGAATGCTTGAGCTAGAATGAAAAAACAAATAAWGCAGCCACTTTTTATTAAACYTTTTAAAACTATCTGTAGTCAGTCCACCACCAATAGACATCCTCTCAATCATCCAGACACTGATGCAAGTGGTAATACTAATTTCCTGGTGAACTATTAAGCTGAAATCTGTTWATATTCTATCTCCCAGCCTTGTGTGGAGGTAACATCACATCATTAAATGGAACCATTTACTCTCCCGGACACCCCGAGGAGTACCCAAACTTCCAGGACTGCGTGTGGAGTGTTCGTGTTCCACCTGGACATGGAATTTATATCAACTTCACTGTTCTGAGCACAGAGCCCATATATGACTACATTACTGTCTGGTAAGTGCCACTGGTTTCTACAGTTAGTTTTCATAGGTTTTCTGTTTATGAAGAGATGCTGTCCATCCTGTTTTTAGGTTATCATTAGTTTGTCACTCCAATCAAAATAAACTTTAAAGTGAATCGTTTGGGTAAAGAGTTGCCCAAACAGGTAGGATAATAATATTTATAAGTATTCCACAGGACCATATTTAAAAGATGAATACTGTCCCTTTAAATATAGTCATTTGAATACAGTATTTCTCGTTTTCTTATTAGATACCTTTTTCTAGCCTTTCTGTCTTTACCTTTGTACCTTACATTATCTCTAAASCTCATTCACGCGTGTGTTTAAAATGCATTCTGTTTGACTCCAATCCCCTGTCCATTTTTTTGTACTTCTCTCCTCGTTCTTCTTCTTGAGAGGCACGTCTATCGGCAACAGCAGACATTTTGCCGATGCAGGTGTTTAAATGCTTTTCAGATACCACGCTGCGTAGGTATTTGGAGGTACGAGGTGGCAGCTGAACCGTAAATAGACTGTTAAGCCTATTTCTGTGRGTGCCGTGTCGCTGCCCCTTCTTTTTATTTTCCTCTCTAGTGAATGCAGTGTCCCTTGACATGAATGCGGCTGTGTTAAGGTAGTGTGAAGCACAAAGAGCCCAATCACAGTGCAGTAAGATGAAGTGCTGCAAGTTTTGTAATTTACAAAGGAATTTAAAACTACTAAATACATGCTTTGTTTTTTTTTTAGCTTGTTGCAGTGGTGGGCACAGCTAACCAAAATAATAGCTTTACTTACATCTAAACCGCTAAATAATTTTCCTCAGTTTTTCTAAMAATAAATGCTAAACAAGCATAAAATTGGTGGAAGCTAAAGCTAAAAAACTGCAGCCGATCCGATTTGAACACCCCCTCCGCTAGTGTTCAGTTCTCTTCCCGAGGCTGAAACCTTTAAGTAACGATGCGTCAGATTTACAGTCAATAACGGAACCTYAATAGTTACCAAACCAAACCTAAATGTGTAATGTGGCAACATAAGTCAATACAACTCAAAATGCTTCCTAAATCACAGATAAAAGAGTTCATGTCTAGTTAAGAGGTAATGTTTAAGAAAATAGTTCTTTTCAGTAAAGCCAGGAGGCGGAGCTACAACCCTGCTAGCAGTAAGAGCAGAGGGAGAAAGAGAGCGGGCATAAAAAAGCCTGTTAAAAATGACAGCATTTGATATTGTGTTTCTGCTACTTTAGTTCTTATATTTAGAAGAATATAACTACAAACATGCCTTTATTGTCTGCAACTTGGTTCCTATTGTTTTGTGTAAAGAGCCATTCAAAAGATTTGAATCGTTCGCAAACATCACACTCTAAACTGTCTTTATAGCTTTTTTTATTTATTTATTTTTAACTGAAGTTTTTATTGAAGTTATCTTACAAGCTTTTTCTTTTTGGAATTGAGACTGAGTTTGAAGTTTAGTTTGGTACCTTGCAAAACTGACACCACAAAAACCAGCTGAGGCACCTTGTTTTCCTCAGCAGCAGGGTTGTGACTTGTTTACTGTATGGGTGCCTTTAGTGCCTACAATAGGTGTAGTTCCAGACTATTATATCMTTTCTTCTTTTCCTACACCGAACACACAAATGGCTGCTGAACCATGTGCCTCTCACCCACACATGATGGTGTGAATTCTATGAATTGGTCGCCCAGCATGCTTCTGACCCCGCTGTCTGTGGGAAAAAAAAAGTGGGCAAACGACTGAACYTGCACAAAAGAAAAGACAACAGCCACACGAACCTGCTGTAAAAACCCGCAGCCTCGCTCACACACAAGTCCTAATGTTGGCTTCCAGCGGAGAGCACAGTGTCAGTGGTAAAGGTGTGATTTTCACAGCGGTCTTCTCAGTCCAGAGCCAGCCGACCTGACAGTCACTGAGTCTGCTAATTGGTCTCATACTGGGAGACGTACTACAGGATTTCATAGCAAGACTTGTCAGATACATCAGATGGTAGCGTGTGCTGTAACCTCTCACTGTATATGTTACCACTGTGTACTGATAACTGTTTGTGATGGAAAACACTGTAAGAGAGAAGCAACGAGAGAAGCTACTCCTTGACCCCCCTGCCCTGTACGAATCAGAGAAAGGCAAGATTCCTCTACAAGCTGACAGATACATGTGGCCTAGTAAAAAAATAATAATAATAAATAAAACAAACAATCTCAAAAATAAAAAAGGAAAAATTTWTTGAACTTCATGGTCTATTTTAATCACAAATAGACTGGTGTTGTTTTCTTTTAGTCTGACAGCAGGTAGCTTTCTTTTTAAAGGTGAAATATGAAAACATCACACCTCTAGGCCGAGCTGCCAGTTAAAAGCAAACTTTTCAAGAAAGCAAGTAAATCTAAGTCTAAACAAGGAGGCTGTTCAGATTTGTGGATACAAATTCACTGCGGGTGATGGCAGGGCTGCTTTGTTTATACTTCATGGTGAATTGTGTACAGGTATTGGCTCAGACTACTAAACATATCAAGAAAAGATGTCCAGACCACCTTCAAAGTTGATCAGAGGAAAAACACTTTAAATTTACATCAATGCACTTCAGACCTGTATATAGCGATATCTGATTATATAGAAAAAATCTGTTTTAGATGGCAGATCTAAACAAGTTCCAAGAACCACATTTGTTCAATGTAGTGAGAATGTGTTTCTGTTGGGGTTTGCAGAGAGCTTGTGTGAATTCATATGACCCCAGACACCCATATAAAGAATACCATAATACCAAATGTATGCATTGAAATACACACTGGCAGTGCGTGTTGTCTTCTATGAATATGGACATTGAAATTTTATTTTAGGTTTTATACAGGTGAAAATGTAATCTTGATCTGTAATCTGCCCATGGTTTTGTGGGTTTTTGATGGCTGGAAAAGTTCCACACAGATATAACGGTGCAGTTCTCATACCAGATTTACAAAAGTATAAAATGTCACAAATATCACAATTCCGCATAATGTACCACATACTAATAAAATCTGTTTTCAATTTTATTTATTATTATTATTTCTTCTTTTTACTGTGTAGTTATGCATGTCCTCGGGCATTCATCAGGAGTGCTGCAGCACCCTCTGCACCCCTACTTCCCACATCCTTGTATTGGTTATTCTTTTCTTCTATCTACACTTCRATCAATAGCTTTGACCATGAAGATACAACAGCAACTAAATCAAACATTTGTGAACTTTTTTTTTGACAACACTTGTTCTTTTCGTGGTGAAATAAAAATCATTCTTTTCCTGTCATTTTTAGCTTTGACACATTGGAGTTTTGATTGTTTTGAGGAGGAAGATGCGCTCATATCCAGCTGGATTGATTTTGTGCTGCAGCACATTGACACAGAATGTCCATCTGCATTTGCAGTCAATGGAGTGGCTGTAGTTATGTATTATAGATATCGTTCAGTCTCCTTTATCTTTGTTTCTAGCCTCAAGAAACTCATTCCCTGATCACAAACAGCCATCTTACTGTCAGGGATGTCTGCAGTAAATTATTGAAATAGTGTTTTAACGGATTTTTTCTCCCCTGTTGTTTTATTACAACAGATTAGTTCCATTAGTATGTTTTACGTGTCTTATGTAAATTTAAGTGTTTTTTTCTCCCCCTTTTATTTCACAGGGACGGTCCGGATCAGTCATCCCCACAGATTGGTCAGTTTAGCGGGAACACGGCTTTGGAGTCTGTTTATTCAACATCCAACATCATCCTCATTAAATTCCACTCGGACTTCTCTGGATCCGGCTTCTTTGTCCTAAGTTATCACGGTAAGACAGGGACCTTACAGCACAKTCACAGAGCCGGTGGTATTATCAGCGCACTGTACTGTGGAAGTGGAACATGACATCTGAATTTTGCCTGCGCCGCGCCGAGGAGCCGCTCTCATTAACAGCTTTCTCTGCAGTTATTTTTTTTCTTGTCCTGAGGAATAGCAATGAAACTATAACGCCGTCATTAGTTGTGGCTGTAATCATGAGATTGATTAGTTTTTCACTGAGCTGAACTGTGTTTAACTCTATTCTCATTAGGTTCTTCTAAGACCTGCTGCCTTTAAATAATTGGGCATGAAAGTTGATCCAGCTCAGAACCATTTTACTACTTAATCAAAGTCCATTTCACAGCCCAACCAAACAAAAATATATTTGATGGAGGATTCTTTACCGGCTGTACAGCTGGGATTTTTTACAGTCTGAGCAGGACATCTGTAGGAACTCACTGGAAGATTTTCCAAATATCTGTATTGTGAGATTTATTTGTTGTTTTATCAGAAATGGTTATGTTTGTGTTCAAACCTAACCCAGAGGGGTTAGAAATACTGAACAGTAAATCTGTTTAGCAGCAGTGCTCATGTGCAATCGAAACATTTTGATTATGACAAAACATTTTAAAGTTACATGTTTTAAAATGGCTAATACCGCCCATGAATACTTATGGTATAAACATACAATCATGCATAAATATTGCTTTATAATATGTTCATTTATATAT